TTCTAAAAATAAGAACAAGAATAAAATAAAATGCACTTACCATGAATTAATGCTTTTTCAAACAGCAGAAATACCAATTTCATACCGCCACATAATCACTATCGTAGTTAGTATATGACAGCCAGACACACTATCCAGAAAATTTGTACTATGGTTCACAAATAAATAAAACCCCAAATCCCTATTTCTATCATGCACAGCCACTAAAAATAATTTCCCAGACCCTCTTTCCACACCTCCAAATACCCACTGCCCCTCAACAGGGTGGCCACAATGATATTTCCTTTTGCCAAACTTCAATTCAACAACTTCCACCATTTTATCTTCCCTATTTTCTGAGACAGATGCAAACCAACAAACCAATGACGCAAACCAAAGAGCCCCAGCGAAAGAATTTTCAACATCAACAGGGTTGCCATACAACACACAATCGTGCCAAAAACCAGCGCAGAACACATATCGCCACATTTGGTTAAATTAGGGCGTATATCAGAATTGTACCAGGGATATTTTCTTTCTACATGTAGATACTTTGCGATGAGTATCGTTACTTTGTAGATAAATTTTGCTGATGATGATGACATTGTTAGTAGACGTTTTGGTTAATTTTTACAATATGGTAACTGGTAGTTTGGCGACATTTTGGAGGCGATAAAGGTTACTACCTGGCACTTTGGTAATAATGTGAGCAGTACTCAGTTCCGATTACGCATTATTTTGTGTGAGGGAAATGAGAGATCATGGGATATGTCATGTGATATTAATGGACGAATTACGGTTCTTTAATCGGAAAAGGGGGGAAATCGGGAAAAAATCTGGAAATTTTGTGATTAGCTTTATTCTGTGTTGTGTGAAACAGTGTTCGTGAATTTTTGGATCCCATGGCCGTAACTAAAGTGAATTCGAAATGGGTATTTATGTATGTATTAATTTAATGTATGTGCTCATTTATATTTTAAGTAGTGTTTTTGAATTTAATTATATTTTAATTAAATGATAGTTATTTTGTGAATTTTATGTTTGTAGGAATTAGGTATACGTTTTAGTTGAAGTAAACGTGCATGGAAATAATTTAAATATCTGACACTAAGTATTTGTAATGGTTGCGGCATGAATTCGTTGGAAACGTGTATAACGTAATAGATGATTTAGAGGTAAAAGTTTTTGGATATTTTATTTATTTTATATGTGGAAATGTTCATTACTTTTTCGCGATCAGGTAATTTATATATGTTCTTTTACCGGGTTTAAAGATTGAGAAAATTGTCATGTATTTTCGTGAAATTTTTCTAATTTATGAGAAAAAAGCAGTGTACATGGATATAGTGAAGAGTGTGCGCAATGCCATTTTTGTGCAATTCTGGGATGTTTTTTTAAGTAAAAATAAGTCGGCGTGTACATGGTTTAGTGATATCTTAATTAAATGATAGTTATTTTGTGAATTTTATGTTTGTAGGAATTTGGTATACGTTTAAGTTGAAGTAAACGTGCATGGAAATAATTTAAATATTTGATACTAAGTATTTGTAATGCTTGCGGTATGAATTCGTTGGTGACGTGTATAATGTAATAGATGATTTAGAGGTAAAGGTTTTTTGATATTTTATTTATTTTATATGTGGAAATGTTCATATTTGGAAAGGGTAAATACTTTTTCGCGATCAGGTAATTTCATATAGTATGTTCTTTTTACCGTGTTTAAAGATTGAGAAAATTGTCATGTATTTTCGTGAAATTTTTCTAATTTATGAGAAAAAAGCAGTGTACATGGATATAGTGAAGAGTGTGCGCAATGCCATTTTTGTGCAATTTTGGGATGTTTTTTTAAGTAAAAATAAGTCGGCGTGTACATGGTTTATGTGTATGTGTTATTTTGAAAAACGCGTAAGGAGTATGGTATTGTGCACTTTTTCCCAATTTTGCAGTGAATATTTGTCATGATTAAGCAGTTTTGTTAGATAAAATTTCTAGCATAAGTGTAATTCGGCTAGTAGATTGTTGGAAGAAGTGTTCAGTAGATAAAAAGAAAAGAAACATGTCTTTACTTCGTGAAGACAAAATGGCGGCGGGAAAAAAAATAGAGGGTTGCTGTAGGAGAGTTGGTCGCCAAATTTTCGCCAAAAAAACGCCAAGTTACCATAATGTAAAGATCAACCGACGTTTTGAATTTGCTGTTTAATTATTTTCTAAATAAATTAATTACACCTGCAATTAGAATAAGATTTTATTTTTATACAAGAAAATTACAAAATATGCTTCTTTTCCATACTTATGGCTCACATTATCCCATGTGTATTTTACATATAATTAATTTTGAAAATTTATTTAGAATTTTTAATTATAAACTTAAATAAATTACACTTCTAATCTAAAATGATTTTTTTTTATATAGAGAATAAAATATGCTCTTTTTCTAACTTATTGCTCATATTTCCAGAGAATTTCTAATTAGAATGAATTTTTTTTAATTATCTACTTAATATTTAAACATGTAGAAGTCTGGCTATAACAAGAATTAATTTCTAAATAAATTAATTGTTCTTCTAGTATGAATATATATATATATATATATTTTAGTTCATGGAAGTCATTTGCTTAATCTAACTAAATGCCTTTTTTATTATGTCCATGTATAAATTAGATTAGAATTATTTAGAATATAAAAAGCACTCCCGGGCTATTTGCTTAAGGAGAGGGAATCCCATTAGCTGGAGTTTAACACCAAGACGAACTACCAGCAACAATTTTACCCTTATGCCGCTGAAAGATACCCTGTATCATAAGAGCAGTTTTTTAATCCCCTCATAATCCTATTTATATTCAAATCTATTTATTAAAAATCCAATAAAATGATAATCAAATTGAAATGCTAATAAGTTAGTATAAAATATTAAACAAACATTATTCTGCTATTTTTCTACATCGAGCATATTTCACTGATATCTTTATATTGAGGATTTAGTGGATAAAAAAATTGGATCTATCAGTAAAAAATCGAAACCATTAGCCTGAGCAAAAGTTTCTTTATTTTTCAGATTTATATTTGTACAATTGGCTAATCTTTGGAATATAGTAAAAGGTAGTTTGGCGACATTTTGGTAAGGCCCAATTTCGCACCTAATCTTCGTCATGATTAAGCACTTTTGTTCCATAAAAGTTCTAGCATAAGCGTAATTTGGCTAGCAGATTGTTGGAAAAAAAATGCTGAGGAAAAAAAAAAAAAAAAAAAAAAAGAGCCTTTACTTTGTGAAAACAAAATGGCGCCCAGAAAAAAAAACTAGCAGGTTGCTGTAGCAGGGTTGGTCGCCAAAAAATCTCCAACTTACCATAATCCAAAGATTAACCGTAGATTTTTCTGATGTGTTACTCATGTTCAATAGTAATGAATGCACTGTAAACTCAAACTTCAAATGAGTAATTCTTTGCAACAAATTCATAACTAAAACACATTTGCCACCATAAAAAAAATTGGGCTAATCTTTAGAATATGGTAATAGGTAGTTTGGCGACATTTTGGTAAGGCGATAAAGGTTACTAGCTAGGACTTTAGCAATAATCTGAGAAGTACACAGTTCGAATCACAGATTATTTTGTCTCAGAGAAATGAGAGATTATGAGACATGTAATGTGAAATTTTCTGGAAAATTCCAATGGGGATTTTAGCTAAAAAGCATTTAGAAACAATTTCGCTGCTTAAGTGCAGAATCGCCCACTTATTGGTTTGGCGCTTTTTACAAGAGTAAGATGAATAGGATTTTTGTCAATTTTCTTTGACATTTGAAGTGAAAATAGGTCGGCGTGTACATGGGTACTGTGTATATGCAATTCTTAAAAGCGCGGTAAGCAGTGGGCGATTCTACAGTTTCTCCCAATTTCGCACCTAATCTTCGTCATGATTAAGCACTTTTGTTCCATAAAAGTTCTAGTATAAGCGTAATTCGGCTGGCAGATTGTTGGAAAAAATGTTGAGCAAAAAAAAAGAATGCCGTTACTTCGTGAAAACAAAATGGCGTAAAAAAAAAAAAAAAAAATAGCAGGTTGCTATAGCAGGGTTGGTCGCCAAAGTTTCACCAAAAAATCGCCAAGTTACCATAATGTAAAGATTCACTAGAAATTGCTTCGGAGGGTTGCCATTTTCAAACCACTGTTATAGACAACGTTCAAACTGCACAAAAATATTATTTTACGATTTAACTTTTCATGGACAAAAAAAACTAGCAGGTTGCTGTAGCAGGGTTGATCGCCAAATTTTCGCCAAGTTACAATAATCCGAAGATTAACCTTTTTTTTTTACGCCATTTTGTTTTCACAAAGTAAAAGCATTTTTTTTTTTTCCAACAATCTGCTAGCCGAATTACGTTTATTCTAGAACTTTAATAGAACAAAAGTGCTTAATCATGATGAAGATTAGTTGCGAAATTGGGAGAAAGTGCAGAATCGCCCACTGCTTGCCACGTTTTTAAGAATTGCACATATATGGTATCCATGTACACGTCGACCTATTTTCAACATCCCAGAATTGCACAGAAATGGCATTGCGCACACTCGACTTTATCCATGTACACTGTACAAGTCCTAGCTAGTAACCTTTATCGCCTTACCAAAATGTTGCCAAACTACCTGTTACTATATTCCAAAGACTAGCCTAACCCTCTTATTAAGCGAAATGATGTGCATAAAAGAATCAGGAATGTCCAATATAAACCGGATTGGATGATGATTAAATAGCCAAGAATACATTTCGAGGGTATAATATTGTTGTGGAGATACATACATACTTTATTTTTTAAAGCTTAAATAAGAGGGAATTTTTGGAAAGCGCCTTTTGATGCCATTTCCCTCTTTGGCGTGAAAAAAATTCTTCCCGAGATTATGGCATTTTTTCGCGATTCAAGGATGACGGAAAAAATTGCGCCAAGTGCCGCTTATCTGAGATTTCCTATCACCACTGGAAAATAATTTATGCAACTTTTAATTACACATTCCTTTTCTATACTTACGTCATAGAAGAAATACTCTTTTGTAGAGTAAGAGATACAGCTTTTTCGAAATACCTTTTAAGTCGTTCTTCCGTAAATATTTCAGACTCACTACCAATGTTAATACTACTCTCATTTACACTTTTAGCAACTTCACTAGAATATTTTTGCTCCCTACTACTCTTTTCTGCAGTCGGCAGCGATTCGGCCATTTTAGAAATATGATAAACAAATGATTTAAAAGCAGGAACACATACATCAAACTCTCAAAACGTAAGCAAATTTCGCGGCATAACGGTATACTTTCTATGGTTACAGCTAAGTATTTTAGAATGGATAAATCTTACGGGACATTCACAGTAGTATTAACAGCTTCTAAAAGTCTAATAATTACAAATGCTATAAATGAACATACGCAATAATCTTTCTAATATTCTATCATATATTGATATTTAATAGCTAAATAAATAAAATTATTAAATTTTATTTCCTGTTTCTTGAGTAACAAACCAATGTTGATCTGCAGCTATGAAACAACTCAAATATGTATGTGGGCAAATTTTGATTTATTTGCATGTTTCCAGTTATGTGTTAGGCTGTAAAGATTCTTAACTATTATTGAGGCTACTATTTAAATTGCAATTATGAAAAAATGAATGCCCAAGTGCTGTACAGTTTATTTTCTTGCTATCGAACTGCAGTTCAGAACTTACGTAAAACATGTGTAGCTAACGCATGCTTAAATACTTCTAAAGTAAGCAAAAATTTTAACTTTTTTTGGGGGGGGGCGCGGAATTTTACCTTTGGGATTAAAGATAAGTGTAAAGTGTAGAATCGCCCACTTATTTGTTTGTCGCTTTTTAGAAGAATTGGATTTTGTCAATTTTCTTTGACTTTTTAAGTGAAAATAGGTCGATGTGTACATGGATAAAGTCAAGTGAGTGCGCAATGCCATTTTTGTTCAATTCTGGGATGTTTTTTAAAGTGAAAATAGGTCGATGTGTACATGAATACCAAGTTAGTGAAATTCTGAAAAACGTGCCAAGCAGTGGGTGATTCTGCACTTTCCTCAAAGATAATACCAACAGTTGTTGTTCCCATGAAGGGAACAGATTCAAATAGAAAAACAAATCAACTTTCATCTTTTATTCTGTAGGGTTGAAGTGCAGAATCACCCACATATTTGGCGCTTTTTACAAGAGTAAGAGGAACTGGAGGTAAAATCTTAGGAGAGCCCACATGTTTGGTGGCAAACTGGGAAAGTGCGCACTGCTTCGCACGTTTCTATAAATCGCCAACTTGAAAATAACAATTCAAAGAATTGCACAAACTTGGTATCCATGTACACATTGACCAGGTAAAGTGCAGAATCGCCCACTCATTTGTTTGCCGCTTTTTACGAGTAAGAAGAATTGGATTTTCGTCAATTTTCCTTGACTTGTTAAGTGAAAATAAATCGATGTGTACATGGATAAAGCCGAAGGGGTGCACAATGCCATTTGGTTGCAATTCAGGGATTTTTTTTAAGTGAAAATAGGTCGAAGTGAACATGGATACCGAGTTTGTGCAATTCTTAAAAACGTGCCAAGCAATGGAGCGATTCTGCACTTGCTCCCATCCATTTCCTATTTTCACTTAAAAAAAACGGTTAATCTTTGGATTATGGTAAATTGGCGACTTTTTGGCAAAAATTTGGCGACCAATCCTGCTACAGCAACCTGGTAGTTTTCATTTGGACGCCATTTTGTTTTCACGAAGTAAAGGCATGTTTTTTTTTTTTCTTTTGCTCAACATTTTTTCCAACAATCTGCTAGCCGTATTACGCTTATGTTAGAACTTTTATGGAACAAAAGTGCTTAATCATGACAAAGATAAGGTGCAAAATTGGGAGAAAGTGCAGAATCGCAAACTGCTTGCTGCGTTTTTAAGAATTGCACATACACGATATCATCCATGTACATGTCGACCTATTTTCACTTAAAAAAACATTCCAGCTTTGCACAAAAATGGCATTGCGCACACTCTTGACTTTATCCATGTACACTGCTAAAGTCCTAGCTAGTAACCTTTATCGCCTTACCAAAATGTCACCGAAACTACCTGTTACCATATTCCAAAGATTAGCCAAAAAAACATCGGAGAATTGTACAAACTTGGCATTGTACACTCCCTTGACTTTGTCCATGTACACATCCATAGGCATCATAACTAAAATCATTTGTGCGAAGAGTGTGGGCTCCGCTAGGATCTAACTGAATTGGTTCCTTTGACTTTTTAAGTGAAAATAGGTCGATGTGTACATGGATAAAGTCAAGTGAGTGCGCAATGCCATTTTTGTTCAATTCTGGGATGTTTTTTAAAGTGAAAATAGGTCGATGTGTACATGAATACCAAGTTAGTGAAATTCTGAAAAACGTGCCAAGCAGTGGGTGATTCTGCACTTTCCTCAAAGATAATACCAACAGTTGTTGTTCCCATGAAGGGAACAGATTCAAATAGAAAAACAAATCAACTTTCATCTTTTATTCTGTAGGGTTGAAGTGCAGAATCACCCACATATTTGGCGCTTTTTACAAGAGTAAGAGGAACTGGAGGTAAAATCTTAGGAGAGCCCACATGTTTGGTGGCAAACTGGGAAAGTGCGCACTGCTTCGCACGTTTTCTATAAATCGCCAACTTGAAAATAACAATTCAAAGAATTGCACAAACTTGGTATCCATGTACACATTGACCAGGTAAAGTGCAGAATCGCCCACTCATTTGTTTGCCGCTTTTTACGAGTAAGAAGAATTGGATTTTCGTCAATTTTCCTTGACTTGTTAAGTGAAAATAAATCGATGTGTACATGGATAAAGCCGAAGGGGTGCACAATGCCATTTGGTTGCAATTCAGGGATTTTTTTTAAGTGAAAATAGGTCGAAGTGAACATGGATACCGAGTTTGTGCAATTCTTAAAAACGTGCCAAGCAATGGAGCGATTCTGCACTTGCTCCCATCCATTTCCTATTTTCACTTAAAAAAAACGGTTAATCTTTGGATTATGGTAAATTGGCGACTTTTTGGCAAAAATTTGGCGACCAATCCTGCTACAGCAACCTGGTAGTTTTCATTTGGACGCCATTTTGTTTTCACGAAGTAAAGGCATGTTTTTTTTTTTTTTCTTTTGTTTTGCTCAACATTTTTTCCAACAATCTGCTAGCCGTATTACGCTTATGTTAGAACTTTTATGGAACAAAAGTGCTTAATCATGACAAAGATAAGGTGCAAAATTGGGAGAAAGTGCAGAATCGCAAACTGCTTGCTGCGTTTTTAAGAATTGCACATACACGATATCATCCATGTACATGTCGACCTATTTTCACTTAAAAAAACATTCCAGCTTTGCACAAAAATGGCATTGCGCACACTCTTGACTTTATCCATGTACACTGCTAAAGTCCTAGCTAGTAACCTTTATCGCCTTACCAAAATGTCACCGAAACTACCTGTTACCATATTCCAAAGATTAGCCAAAAAAACATCGGAGAATTGTACAAACTTGGCATTGTACACTCCCTTGACTTTGTCCATGTACACATGCATAGGCATCATAACTAAAATCATTTGTGCGAAGAGTGTGGGCTCCGCTAGGATCTAACTGAATTGGTTCCTTTGACTTTTTAAGTGAAAATAGATCGATGTATACATCGACAAAGTCAAGCGAGTGCAAATGCCAAGTTTGTGCAATTATCTGATTTTTTTAAGTGAAAATAGGTTGATGTGTACATGGATACTAAGTTCATGCAATTCTTAAAAACGAGCCAAGCAGTGGACGTGCACTTATTTGTCGCATTTTGTTTGGTGATGTTTACAAGAGTAAAAAGAATTGTATTTTTGTCAATTTCCCTTGATATAGATTGCGGTGTACATGGACAAAGCGAAGAAAGCACACAGTGCCAAGTTTGTGCAATTCTCTGATTTTTTTGTACGTGCAAATACGTCGATGTGTACATGGATACTGAGTTCATGATACAGTCAAAAGTCTTTAATCCGGACTCGTTGGGACTTCGGCGATTCCGGATTATAGATCATCAGTTTAAATCTGGTGTGATGGCATGCAGAAATTATAAAATTAAAAATATGAAACTGTAATTTATGATATAAAGAGCAATTATGATCTAAAGGGTATCAAAATTTACAAAAAAAAAAAAAAAAAAAAAAAAAAAAAAAAAAAAAAAAGAGCTTAATATTTATTTGTTTACTTTATTAAACATTTCTTTCAACGCGTGCATGCGTAAAGCATACCTTGCGCATAGCCGAAATTAGAAAATTGCAACCAGAAAACTATTTGATTTGTATTCGTGATATTTATAATGACGAGGAATTTGATTTAAATCATATCAAAGACGGAGTACATCGAGATTAAATACTACATTTAGTAAGGAATTATAAGCCGAATAAAATAAAAACATCTGCCCTGAAGATAACGATAGTGCTGACAGATCAACTTCCAGTTCATTACGCGCCGCGTCGTCCCCCCCCTCGCAGAGCAGCGTGAAATTGATAAACAGATTTCGGAACGGTTAGATAAACAAAGGATATGGCTTTATCCATTTTTTGTTTGATGGACATCGAAACATACTTTCATTTTCTAGATCCTTTGGGAGATCCAGCATCGGAAATTCTATTTGACATAATCGAAAGTTCAAGCTTACTTTTATAAAATTGCTCTTACAGTCTGCAAAAAATAATAAGCCGGATCCAACTCGAAGATTAAGGAACAACGCAATCATCAACATTAACTGAAATAGATAATTAGAGCTTATACCATCCGTTATACATTAAACGCGCACGCGAAAAAGTATTCTGCGCTTGCGCAAACGCATATGCGCAGTCGTAAATGTCTTGCCCACACGCGTAAAACGCCTATGTGCATGCATCAACGCGGCGCATGCGCAGAAAGATTATAGATTTGAGGTCCGGATTGTAGATCATTCCGGATTATGGGTGTCCGAATTAACGACTTTTGACTGTATTTTTTGCAGGCTGTTATTATTATAGCAATTTTATGAAAATAAAAGTTTGAGCGTTCGATTATGTAGAAAAAAGTTTCTAATTCTGGAACTGCAAAAGGATTTTCAAAGCGAAAGCATGTTTATTGTCCATTATAAAGCAGGATTGCTACAAAAAATGGATAAAGGTACATCCGTCTCAAAATTATGCGAGGAGTATGGCATTGGAAAGTGAACTGTATATGACATAAGAAAACAGAAAAAAGAATTTTTTGTGATTCCGACACCCCATTTGCAATGAATAAAAGAAAAATTATTCGTTGTGCTAGAAGTGACTATCATGGCAAAGTTATGATTGAATGGACCAGACAGCATCGCAGGGAGGGCATGCCATTGGCGGATGCAGTGCTAAATAGCTCAAGCCAAAATATTTCATGAAGAAATTAACTTAAAAACTGAATGCACATATTTGACAGGTTGATTAACTAAATTTAAGTATTGCCATGGTATAAGGCATGAGAGCTGCTGAACTATTTACAGATGAATTCATTGAACTCATTTATAGTGAAAAGTTATCTCCAGAACAAACTTCCAATGTTGATGAAACTGGTCTTTTCTGGCAATGTACCATGAAATACCTTGGCAACCTCTATAGAAAAGGCTCCAACTGGTGTCGAAGATTCCAAAGTGAAACTAATCATTTTAGCATGCGCAAATGCTGCACGAACGCACAAATGTAAACTTTTCGTAATCGGAAAAAATACATGAGCTTGAGCATTTAAAAGAGTAAAGAATTTCCCCGATATATATCATGAAAATAAAAGAGCGTGGGCACAAGCGTTAATGAATGATTGCTTTAAAAATCATTTCATACTTGAGGCTCGGCAACATTTGAATTCGATTCGTTCACCTGATGATGTAAAATCTGTCCAAATGGTAGCCAACTGTTCAGCTCATACTTCACTTAAAGTTTTAGTAAAAGATAATGTATCCATATTATTCTTTCCTCCAAAGTGTACGTCCATCATACAGCCCATGGATATCAAAATACTGCGTGTGCTGAAATGCAAATATAAAGTGGCATTTTTAAAATCCATGTTAAATTTCTTGAATAATGGCAAGACTGTTCAAGAATTTTTGATATATATTTAGTCTTCAATTTGCTGTGTGCAGCATCACAAGATGGTAGGAAGATGTGTCTCAAGGTACTTTAAAAAGTGCTTGGCATAATTTATGGCCAGCTATAGCATATTTAATGGTGAGCATGATGAAGATGATAGGTGCGAATTTTAAATTTTCAGATATATCGAAAACCAAAGGTGAAATTTTCCAGGTAATGGTAATATAGAATATGGTAGTAGTAAAGAAATGTGGAATAAATGGAACAGTTTTTCATTGAGATGACAATGCCTCAATCATCAATCAATTAATGGATGGTGAAATCTAGTATGGTTCTAGATCCAGAAAATACTGCTACCAATAGTGAAGAAAGTGACAGAGAAGATATTGAAAACAAAAAAATTTCAATTGATAAGTTAGTCAGAATTCCTGACACACTTATTACAAGATTTGAACAAAATGGAACTTTGTAACTAAACAAGAAATGATATCTGTCTATAGCAGTGGTTCTCAACCTCTTGACTAATGCGTACCATCTAAACAAAAATTTAAAAACTTCAGTACCATCACTACATTTTACAATGATTATATTTCAGTTTCTCAATTAAAATATTAAAAAACCCCACTATTTTGCCATTTGAATAACCTGTTGGCTATTTGTATTAAATATGCACATGTAAAAATTATTAGATTAAATATTTGGTTACCATATTAATTATGTTTTAAGATTTTCATTTAAGTTATAATACTTTAATTCTAAAATTTAGTATGAAATTTGGCCCTGTTTAAGAGAGATCAATTTACTTATGTCTGGTCTTATTTCACTTATTTTTATCCGTAAATTAAGATCAACTTATAATGTTGTTTTTGTATTTATTTTTTAAATTTGACATGGAAGAATCCTTGTACACACAAATAGGTTGTGCAAAAAGGCAATAAAAATTTAATTGTTTTACTTGAAATCTTCAGTCAGAGTTTGATCACATGAAATTTCTATCAATTGTCCTTTTTCTTCATGAAATAAAATTTCAAGGTACATTTGAACAAAATAGATTTCTACTTCAATTTTATTTTTCATAATCCTCGGGAAAGTACATTTTCAAATTATTTATCAATGAAAACAATGGTTTTTAATGCTGGATGATAATTCTTCTTTTATTCTCAAATTATTTTCTGTTAGAAAACTTTCTAAAAATGGTGAAAAGATAAAAATATTATTATCAAATTCTCTGATTATTAGCTCGAGTTTTATATATATATATATAATGGCATTTATTTTATTTTTAATGGTAAACAAATTACATTTTGTCCTTGTACTCCTAAATTTATTTCATTTAACTTTCCATAAATAAGCTAAACATGCTAACCATAATTCCCTAACGAACAATGAAAACATTTTTTAATTAAACATTTAACGAAACATTTTTGCAATTCAAATATTTAATCACAGAGGAAACTTTGAATTTCTGATCAAAGCTCAAAAAAACGATTTAAAACTTTATCTCAGGATAACCACCTTTTTTTCAGAATGTAAAGCATTTCACGTTCACTGTCCATCTCTTGACGTAAAATCGTAAATATTTTTGAAGCTCAGCTTTTAATAAAATTAACGATTTTCACAGTTTGATTCAAAACAATTTTCAGGTTTCCAGATTTTTTTGGCTACTAAAGCTTCATGTTGAATGGAGCAGTGAGTAAATTTAGTTTCAGGTGCTACTTTTTTATATGAGAAATAACACCGGAATGGTTTCCTGTTAAAGCCCGAACTCCGTCACTGCATACAGCAATGCAGTTATTCCAAGGAATATTATTCTCAGACATAAAATTGTCAATTACTTTGAAAATTTATTTGCAGTTGCTCTGTCATGAAGAGATTCACAAAATAAATACTCTTTGGCAGTTAGTTTATGTTTTCAAAAGGTATGGAAACTGATAATTGACATAAGTTCGCTGTATCAATATTTTCATCCAGTTGACAATGTGAAATATTCACAGTGTTTTGTTTTTTGAATAAGTGTCTCTTTTTTTAAATTTGCAATTTTGTGAATTTGTCGACTTACGGCATCATTTGGTAAAGAACATTATTAAGTTCGTTAGCCGCTTTTCATTGAATAGCGTCGAAGCGATATCTCTAGCTACTGGTAATATAAGGTTTTCTACAATACTATGAGCCTGCCCAGTCTTAGCAATTGTTATGCTTATTATGTAACTAGCTTCCAAAGCATTTTCACTTAAAGTAACAAAACCTTTCATTACTTTACTATTTTTGAACTCCGATAATTTCCTCTTAAAATATTCTTCAAATTTATCCTTTAAATTGGTATTCTTAGATTCAAGATGGCTTTTAATAGATGATGGTTTCATACTTTGATTGGATAATAGTTCACCGCAAACAGCACATTGAGGTTGAAGGTCCATTTCATCTCCATTCCAAGTAAACTAAAATGATTAATAAGTTTCATTATATTTTATATAAACAATTTTTCTTTTCTTTTCACTATATTCTTAGTGCTAGTAGATTGTCCTGAATCCATCACCTGTGAATCATCAATTTTCCTCTTAGTCAGACCTAGCTATTTTTCCGTTTTGAAAATCTAGGTTTGTCTTATGATTTCTTCACAAATATTTAAATGCACAAATATATTACTAGTTCTTCAAAAACAAATGATGATATTCTCAAATCGCATAGAAAAGTAAGGAATACAAAGCAACAAGATGACAAAATACCTGCTTTTAAGGAGCAAATCGATGCAAAAAATGCTTCTAATTGAAAATAATATGATCCCGGAAACGGTGGTGATATAAAGTGTAGACTATCTAATCAATCAATCAACACTAAAGCGAATTAATGAGATAGTGTTATCTTTTTATAGGAATTCATATTTATTTCTTATTAACTAAACCTTCCATTTTATTACTTCTTTTAAAAGCATTTATGACAAATTTTGTTATATCTATGGCTAAAATAATATTTTTGAAAATGCTTGAATAAAGTTTGTTTTAGTTTAAATACTAAAATCCTTGAACAAAGCTAAGATCACATAATTTTACTAGTGTTAGAGAAAATAACTTTGCCAGGATGTTGGAGTATTTAATTTTTGAATTTAATAGTTAAAAATACTTTGTTCCGTTGCATACCACCGGTTGAGAACTGCTAGACTTTATAATTAAAGAGGAAGTATTAGCACAAAAATCGAAGCAACGTAAATTGAAAGAAATGTTTACATATGAATGAAATATTTCTTTTAACTTACACTGAAAGAAATATTTAATAAATTAAGCAAATAAATATTGAGCTTTTTTTTTTTTTTTTTTTTTTTTTTTTTTTTTTTTTTTTTTTGTAAATTTTGACACCCTCGAGATCATAAATGCTTCATTATTTCATAAATCACGATTTCCTATTGTTTGTTTTTTAATTTCTACATGCCATCTTACTAGATTTAAACTGATGATCTAATATCTGGAAAAATTCCAAATGCGAAATCACCGAAGTCCTGACAAGTCCTGATTTCAGACTTCATACTGTGTTTGTTTTCACTTTGCTCTGTTCATTCTTTTTGTATAAAATTGTTTTACTGTTCTGACAGCTGAAATTTTCTTTCCTGCTTCTGAAATATAAAGACCTTTGTCTGATTACTCTTGGAATTGATTTAAAAATCTATATCCAAATAAGGTTGCTTTTGCATCTGATTTTAAAATCCACAATTTCTGTAACATTAAATTAAGTCAAAAATGTGGTACTTAATTCATAAACCTTCTTATTCTGTACCCAGGAAACATTTTTTTCCGATAAATATGGACAAATTTTACTAAAACATTGTCACTTTTTTTGGTCTATATGTAAGGGTTGTTAGCTATATGTCTGTATGCTGTCAGCTAAATGTTCATCTGGGTTAAATGCCGTGTTGACTGTATAACCTGTTGGCTAAATGTCTGTGTCAGCTAAGTGTCCTGTTGGTTATGTACATGCCAGCTAAATGTCCTCTTGGGTAAGTGTCTCCTCAGCTAAGTGTTCGCAACCACCTCTTCCTGTACCACAAAACCTCTTGAGATGACTTCGCTTGCTATGTATTTTGAATTCCTTCTCATCACTTAAACACTGTATCTTCTTCTTACCAACATCTGTGCCGTCTTCAGGGTTTGAACTCAGGCTCTATAGTGTCGCTGTCAGTGTCATTAACCATAATACCGGCTAGGTGGCAATTGTCTTCAGTGCCACTCCAACACTTTTAATTTTGAAGTTAAACCCTGCTTTATGACACTTATAGCATTTTACAGTCTGTTGTGTATGTTAACTGTAGTTTTCACTCATTATTAATGGATTCATAATATTATTACGTATTCATATTTTTTATGGATGTATTTTATTGTTGGATGATTTATAAATTAATTCTGATTATATTTATATTAATTTTTCAGGGTACACGGAAAATGAGAAAAGCCAGAAAATATAGGAGACCTGAAGATTTAGAAGATCCATTTTACTATGGGATAGGTCCTAAACCTGAAGTGAAGGCTGTTTGCCAGTCTATTGCTGCTAGAGGGTATGTTTGAAACATTTAATGGTGCTGAAGTAAAATGTTCAAGTTCATACCATATATCTGCTAAAAATCTTTCAATGAACACATAGTTCAAAAATACATGACAATTTTACTTTTTTTTTTTTCTTTCAAATATAGCATTATTTCTGTAATAGATGTGTTTATTTAATCTAAAAAATATTTTAAAGAAAAGCCTTGTTCATGTAAGATGGGGTAACATCAGAACACTCGTGTTGGGCGCAAGAAAAGACAGGTTGTCTTTTAAAGTATTTATTTTGAAAACTTAATAAGATATTCTTGAATAAATATTAAAATAATTGAATCATTTCAACCATAATTCATACAGAGGCCGCTGACGCGGCAACGACGCTAAAGTGCGTCTGCTTTCACTCATTCACAGCATCAAAAGCTTTTTACACAAAGCTCTTTCCTCGTTTTGTTAAAAACCTGGAAAGAGAATAGTCCCTTATGATTCGAAACCATACTAGGGAATTTACGCTGCACCTTTCTTCAAAGTTCTGCTGTCCATTTTGTCTCTGAACAAAACAGGAAGTTCTCATTAAGCACCTGGAAGTCCGAGGGATGCATATGTCTGAACGTCACAACTCCTATCCTCCGCGGGGGTGGGGGTTCAGAACTCCAATTCCTAATACCATACCATAGCAAGTCTTAATAATAAACTAATAATTATTAGCATTAATACTTTTTTTTTCACAACTCTGGGCTAAGTACCAAGGATAAACATAACAAGAACTATATTGAAGCCAGTAAAAAAACATATAATCAGCATAATACTGAGAAATAAACTTAATTATACACATGCAAATAAAGAACGTATAATTTTCTGAAAAATGTAATATACAATATACATTCCTAAGTTTAATATTAATTATATATATAGCCAGGCTGAAAGGGAAATCTTGCAGATTTTTAATTTTCCGTTTGTGATAATCTCTCAATGGTAACCCAACACCTGGATGAGAACCACTACATTTGACTTCAAAATAAACATGTACATCTAATTTGGCTTTAACATCAGAAAAAAACAACGTCATTACAAATTGGATTTACATCATTCATGAAGTAGCTATATTTAATCCCCTTTGACCCTTCAGTATCAGGCACAAGTATAGATAAATCAGGAACTGAGGATTCTTCTACTTTCCTTCGTAAATTTACACTACTCAGTGTCTTGGGCAATTCTCGTACAGAACTTTTATGCATTTGCAAATCTTCCGAGTCTGGTTGGTCAGAAACATCATTTGGCATATCTACAGTTTCTTGTTCGTGCCGAACTGAAAAGGAAATTCTTAACTTGTACACATTTCCCAAAGAGTTACTGTCATCGTTTAACACGACTAAGTCAAAAGATGGTTTACAACGTCACTTTTCTTTTGTAGATCAGACAACCGCGTTTTGTTTATACAGTCAAAAGTCGTTAATCCGGACTCGCTGGGACTTCGGCGATTCTGGATTATCAGTTTTTACGGATTATAGATCATCAGTTTAAATCGTGTAAGATGGCATGCAGAAATTCTAAAATTAAAAATATGAAACCATAATTTATGAAATAAAGAACAATTATGATCTAAAGGGTATCAAAATTTACAAAAAAAAGCTTAATATTTATTTGTTTACTTTATTAAACATTTCTTTCAATGTAAATTGTTTAAGTTGCTTCGTTTTATGTGCTAATACTTTCTCTTTAATTCTATAAACACATAATTTTTTGTTCAGTTACAAAGTTCCGCTGTTCAAGTCCCGTTAATTGCTGTGCCGAGAATACCGACTAACTTGTCAATCGAAATTTTTTCGTTTTCACTAACCTCTCTGTCACATTCTTCATGTCTTTATCCATTTTTTGCAGCAATTCCACTTTTTGTTTGATGGACATCAAAACATACTTTCGTTTTGTACGATCCTTTTGGGAGCTCCAGATTCGGAAATTCTATTTGACATAATCGAAAGTTCAAGTTTACTTTTATAGTATTGCTCTTACAGTCTGCAAAAAATAATAAGCCATTCAATTCGAAAATTAAGGAACAATGCAATCATCAACATTAACTAAAATAGATAATTTTAGCTTATACCGTTCGTTATACATAAACCGTGCATGCGAAAACGTATTCTGTGCTTGCGCACATGCAAATGCGCAGTCGTAAGAGGTCTTACGCGCATGCGTAAACGCCTATGCGAAACGCTATGCGCATGTGTCAACGCGGCGCATGCGCAGAAAGTTTTTAGCTTTGAGGTCCGGATTATGGGTGTCCGAATTAACGACTTTTGACTGCAGTAAGTAGTGTCAGGTCGTTCACCTCGGTTTCAGGCAGGGCGAAATTGCTGTCCTTCATCCCTTTTGTTGGGGACAAAACTTCACCTCTTTCAATAATGAGGGGAGAATTCTCACCTCAGGGTTCGAGTTCGCCGCGTTCAGACTCCAGGAGACAACTTTCCCTGATTTCATTTCTTGCTTGACTCGGAGCTCGAGTCTCCGCCGCATTTACTTGAAAGAAACGTTTATCATTTTGATTGCCGTTAATTTTTCGGCAGTGCGATTTCCTAAGACATAACGGCCTTCATTGCGAATGACCGCTGCCTTTGTCATTATTCATCCAATTGTTCCTTCTATTGCAACGTTTGTTAAGGGTAAACGAATTAGGACCTCATCAAATGATTGTTTTACCCAGACCATCTCACCCGTCACCATCGAAGGAGTGAGATATTTCTTGCCTGTTATGTCAATACATGATCCGGTATCTCTTAAAACTGGGAGATCGAATCTGTTCATTTTAGGTTCAAATTTTGGCATAATTTTTTTTAGATCGTAACGGCTTTTCTCAAGCCCATTTTCTTCATTCCCACCATTTACAGAGTCATTTCTGCTAGCAGCTAGTATTCTTAACTTCGCTAATTCAAATTCCATTTCTTCTCTCCTAATTCTATCTTGCCTCTCTTCATCTTCTCTCCTAATTCTTTCTTGCCTCTCTTCTTCTTCCTTCCTAATTCTTTTCAGGTCTTTTTCTTCTCTCTCAAGCCTCATTGAAGTGATATTTTCTAACAGGCATTTCACTAGTTCCTCATAGGATTCATTTCCCATAATCAGCTGTCTTAATTCCAGTATCCTAAGTTCAGGCCTAACTTCTTCCCCTAACTCTTCAGCCAAGGATTTAAGATCCTCTTTCCTAACTTTTACTAAGAATGCCATGATATAAACAAAATTATGCTAACAACCTAACAGTTTTAGCTCCCTCACACTACATATATATAAAATTGATTTAAACAAATATCATTTTCACAAAGAGAGAGTAAAATTGAACCCATAATTTTTTTTTCCACAACATATTCTATAGATCTAAACAAAAATGCAAAACATTTCACACCATAATATGCACATTATGCATTCAAATAAAAATCTGTCTACTTGAGGACTTATGATAGTACAGATAATATTACCTCTTAAAAGCTTTAAATTCAGTTGCATTCAACTCAGTTGCTTATGATAATACAATATACTTTCATCAAAATTTGAGGTATATTAAAATATGCATTCAAAGGTTAATTAAAAAAAACATATAGCTACATGCTCATAACTAAACATTGATATGACAACAATTTAAATGAAAGATACTGGGATTTCTAGCATTCCCCTTTTACTCATTCAATAGAAAACATTTTCTCAGTTCTTACGCAAATAATATTTGGCACACCTTAACTGAAAATTCTAATATTTATAATATTCAAGACATCTTTGAAATGAATGTCAGAATGCCACCTATCCTTAGAACCTTCAAAGTTACAGTAATTCGTCTCCTTTACACATTCAATTATATAAGCTTAATTTGAGCACAACACATTAACCTTTCAGATATTAAAAAATTTATTAACACAGATTTAAATTCTAAAATTTACACTTCTTATTGCAACATAAAACCCAAACAGCACATTTCTTTAAGTTTTACCAAAAACAAAGTTGACTTAAAACAGTTATGTGAACTTGTATACTAAATTACATAAATAAATTAAATTACTTTACTGCCTCAATATAAATATCCAAGGTACTTGCCCTTCTGGATTGTAGACTCTTATATTAGGGACCTGAATTGTAGACATATCATATTGCAGACCTTATCACTACACTACACCTTCACAATAATCTGATGATCTTCGGGCAAAGAACACACTGCGCTGCACTAATTTTCTCAGATACAAAGATGATCGCACAACTATCACTTTTTTCTGTCACTACACTGCACCTTCACGATGATCGGATGATCTTCGGACAAGAACACACTGCACTGAACACCATGCACTGCACTGCACTAATTTTCTCAGGCACAACGATGATCACACACGTATCACTTTTTCACTACACTACACATTCTCAATGATCTGATGATCTTTGGACAAGGCTTGTCTGCACACTTCTGCACTATTTTTTTTTTAACACAAGATGATCGCACAATTTATGCTGCTGAAGATGAGCTGTATTCTGGAGAACTGTCATTTCTTTTTATCTGGACTGGTGTCCGTAAAACTTCTGTGGATTCTATCTCACTGCTTCGAAAAGCTGTAAATCACTTTTTCGAACTGATGCTCATAACTTTTCGTGCTGCACTTCAGAACCTGACGGTCTGTAATATCTGCAAAACACTGATGATGTCTGGACAATGACTGTTCCACAATCTTGAGGTGAATTTTCAGAGCTTGATGGTCTGTAATTTCTGCATGGATTTTCTCATCTGAACCGCTTTGGAGAGCTGTAATCACTTTTTCGAACTGATGTTCGTAACTTTTCATGCTTCACTTCAGAACCTGATGGTCTGTAATATCTGTAAAACACTGATGATATCCGAACATTGACCGTCCCACAATCTTGAGGTGAATTTTCAGAGCCTGACGGTCTGTAATTTCTGCATGGATTTTCTCATCTGAACCGCTGCCACCATTTTAATAAAGCTGTAATGTCAGAACACCCATGTTGGGTGCAAGAAAAGACAGATTGT